TTCTGCCTTACACTCGTCAGTGGACAGTGGTTGTTGATGGGCTGCAGAAGGACATTTCTGAACAACTCCCGGTCATCCGTGGCATTACCCGTGAACGTTGAGCCCCAGTCCAGGCCGAATAAGTCGACCCCCATCTGAGTGAAGTCGCCCGAAAAATGTTGCATCTTCTTGGTCTGGATTATACAAAATGGAGAATAACGAATAATCCCACATTAGCCTCACATGGTCACTACGGCTAAGGGGCGGCATGGAGGTGATCTCGTCTATGCTGCCTGGTGCTTTCGGGGGAACTAAAACCAGGCATTTATCCCTTTCTCCATCATGCGTTCTCGTTGGAAACCTTACATGGTTTTTGAGGAGCGCCTTTAATGGTTTGTTCAGCGAACCGTAGTTGAATGTCGACTTTGGACCTGACGCTTAAAGGGTGTTCCAGTTATTTCCTGGTGCGTTGAAGTCGCCCATTATCATGGCGTTAGATAGACTGCAAAATTTTCTCAACTGCTCCAGAAAATGGGTCGGCGATTTGGTCTGTCCTGAATGGTCGTCAGAGGGTGAGGACACACGGGGAACCGGTAGCCTTGAATGTTAACTAAATAGCTTCCGTGCTGCACGCACACTGACAGGTCTTCCTTCACACACACAACTAGGCCACCACCCCGACGACTTTCCCTGTCCCTCGGATAAGTTTGGTACCCAGTGATGGCTATTTCGCTGTCGCTAATATTTCCGAACAGCTAGGTTTCGGTTAGTACTAAAACATCTGCAGACAGTTCGGCAAGGCAAAGTTTTAGCTCCTAATGTTTAGATATGAGCCATTGGGTATTTGTGCACAAACACCTCAGTCTTGCACTTGCCGAATTTCCGGCTGTATTTGTCACTGCTGTGAGCGTTGCTACTTCATCTCGGACGTCATTTTCACTGGACTCTTCCGCTAATGGATGGGTTCCGTTAATGTAGGTTGTTTCAGTGAGAACACTGGACATTAAGGGTTCACTTGTGTTGCCGCCTCAAGCGGCTGGTTCCACGAAATCACGATATTGTTCCAGGGGAATGCTCACATTTTGCAATATTTTTGCCATGTGCGTTCGTCGTTAGTTTTTTTTCGAAAATAAATAGGCAAAAATTAATGTCTAAAAAAGCAGTTATCAGTAGTTACACTCTGCGGCATATGGCCTTGTGCGACACTGTACGTCTTTTTTATGTTTTAATGCGCCATTTACGTTGCAGATGAATAGTCAAACTTTCAATTTTGCCGTATATTCTGGGGTTTTATATATTGCCTTTTTAAAGTCGCGGTATTTATTGTACTTTTAAAAACAAAAATAAATTATTCCAAGGCTTAACAGACTTTCCCACAGGGACTGCGTAACTGGGGCTGCGTCCCATCGGAGAAGGCCTTTAGTTGGCCACTGTGTTCAGCATTGGAAAATTATGCTCTATTTCACATTTTTTAAACATGTTTATTTGTGCCTGATGAACGCAACGTGCCCAGAGAGCAGTATTTCTTCCACATTTCGTACTTTTAGATAATTTCCTTCCTTTACTTTTTGGCTAGCCATTCTGGTCTGCAGTTTGCCTTGCTTTCGTCCGTGAGATTTGGCTGTCACTTAGTTTCAGGAGGAAATATTTTATTTTTACCCAACTTTCATTGGCATAGCACTCGAACTTCTCGTCCGATTCAGATCACACAAATGTGCAATCATCTGGCTAAAGTCACCACCCCCAATGACATGTTTTTTTCCCTTGGCCTGTGTAAATAAGACTAACGATCAGTCCAACAGGATGCACTACACTGCCGATGCAGTCGAGTTATTGCAGCGATATAACATCAATTCCGACTCCTGTATTGCAAACTTCAACCCCAAATAGTAAATCTTATAATATAATTGTCATGTAGCTTTTGCTTTTCCCCCTCTTTTCCGGCTGCTTCTTCCGCTATGCACCGAAAACATTTGTTATTATTCCAGTTTTCGTTAAAACATCTCGGTCGACGAAAACACATTTCGTGGCGCTCATTAAACATTTCCAGCACTCTCCATCCGAAGCATATTTTGAATTTATCCTGTCATCACAGCCAAGCTATTCCACTTCTTAGGTATAATAATCAGACCTTAACAAGAGTGCCCTGCGCAACCTGTGATTTAGCATTGATTAACCTCACCATCCTTCCTCTCATGAACAAGTGTAGGACGTAGCTAATTAATTTGATCATAGCATAGTCTTCGTCAATATACAGCACGGGTATTCTTTAATGAAACCGGATGCCCTAAGAATTTAATGCTCCTAGATTACTTTTAATTGTCTTTAGAGAAGAAATTGGATCAATATAACATTACGTACAATAATGCTACCAGAACGACGCTTTCTGAATTCTCGTATTACTATTTCGTTGCATGTTCAATACTGCTTCATAGATTTCCTAACAGCTTTCATGAAATTTCTTATTAATTTTTTAGTCATTGTCCGAAATAACCGATATTACTTTGGCGTTTGTGTACAATCAACATCGTTTTAATTTATTTATAGCATAACTGTGACCAAACTGAAACCGGCATTACGATCCAATTAGTGTAAACATACTAATATGGATATTGTCATAGACAGAATAGCATTACTGCCAGAGACAGGGCAGGCTAGAATGGCCATTTCCGGGTCACTAGTCGTCTTCAGCCAGTCATACCCAATCCCGACGTGTGGAATACCTGGGGCTCGATAGAGTCCCAAGGCACAACGAGACGAACGAGTGCCTTAAAAAGACAATCTGTAAGCGCCCCTCTACTACTGTATATTCCTGATCACAACCGACAGAACAACGAACCCGTTGATCAGTAGTTAGAGGAGTTGAATTTCTAACCAACAGATGGCTGGATCGATCCCCAGATGTTCCGCACTTCGGTGTTGGGTACGACTGGCTAACGACAGTTAGTAAGCCAGAAAGGGCCTTTCCGTCTCCCGTGTCATTGTCGATAATGCTATTCTGCCTAGATCATGCAGTGCTGTGCGGCCGCTAGTTTGTTTCGAAAGGAAGGGCGTTAAGACAGAAAGGGACAAGTAAATTCCGTAAAAGGATGATTGGTTCACACCCCTCTACCATTTCGTATTCACATTCAGCAAGTAAAGGTGAGTTCGGAAACCATCTTTTCGTTGTTTCGATTATCCAGAAGTAGACAAACTTCAGTCGTCGGAGGTGGGTATCGTATCGCGTTCCACAGTATTTATAGGGAGAGATAACCATGTCAACACGGCGTTTGTTACATGGTTCTTCCTTAACAGTGTACACTGGAGGGGCCGTTAATCTGCTTAAGCATTCATCTCCTGCATACACGCAGGTATAATCTATGTAGTCACCGGAGTGGAGGGGGAGGCAGGTTGACTGCTGTCAATCGGGATGTTTTTCGTCGATGAATGACTTTTAGACGCTGGTTGTCATCATTTGCACTGACTTCAGTTCCCGCGCTTGGCTGTTAGTCTTGTTTGAGTCCATCTGACTGGACTTCTACTCGTCTGCCGGGGAAATGGTTCATACGGGATTATTGATGACTGTACCTTCGTCGGGCTCGGGTTGTGACGTAGTGATGTACGTATCCGTCGTAGGTTCTGTTACTTTTGTTTCGCGCTTGCCATTGCGTTGGCCGAGCTGCGCCTGGAGGGCTTGTTAGGCCGTGTAACAGAACTGTTATATTAGCTATTATCCAATTGCCGAGCCTCGATAATCATCCTGGATGTGCGGTCCTTTCCTATACACGGAGTTTTAGCTTTCTGGAAGCCGAAGGGGTGCACAGAGCCTGAGCAGTGTTGCGAACCAGAGTCAGTAGGTGCTCGTGTGTGCAGGTCTCTGATCGTTTGCCGGCCTCTCCGATGTAGTAGACTTCTCATGTGTTACGCTACATCGCATAGGTTACGCTTGTCGTTTCACCTCGTTTGTTAAAGATGTATGCACCAAATTCTGTCCCGGTTCGGTCGCAAATTTTCTAAGAACATACGAAATCTTGAAGTAGAAGCTAAGCTTAGAAATATAAGCCCCCTGTCCCTGGGAGGAAACTACACCCACGTCCATAATCTGACCACCGAACAGAGGACTCCTGAACTCGAGGAAGTGCCGAGTCGCGAAGCTTGCTTTATTACCACAGACGGCGATCCGTCCAACCCCCTGGCCACAGTCGAGCCGATTCTTAAACAAGCCAGGGAATCCGAAGAAGCAAAGGATCTCATTTTGCTCTTAGTACTCTCGCTAAAAGTTTGAACGAATGAGAAATGGCTTCTGTCCTATTTATTTAGTTCCTTTTCTATTCAACTTACATTTTGGGGGCAGCGCTCAATTTGCTGAAGAAAAAAACGCATGATTCCAAGAAATTTTATAACATTTGGAATTTCTATCTTTATGCCTGCGTCAATTTTTAAGAAAATTGCAGAAAGTGGCTTATTCCTATCCCATATCTGAGTCATTTTGGTAGACGCAGACCTAAATTATAAATATTACAGAGTTGCAAAATGAAGTATGGCGCTGCCGGCTTCTGCTCATGGTTTCATATATATACGGATGCCTAAATTCCTTCCGTCGAGGTAAATGCACCGTCGTCTAGAGCCTAATAAAATTTTATCGTTCGCAAAAGTACGTCATAAATTTGGCCCTTAACTTTTAACCATCAACCATTGTTTTCAACGTCTTTATCACGTGCTCTTGATGTGCGTCTTTGCTTCCCACGCCAGGAACTGCGTTTGGAAACCTTCCACTCGAAAATTAAATTATTTGGTCAGCCGTGTCCCATTAAAATTTAATATCTACTATTTGGTAATAGAAAATGCTGGTCCGGAACTTACCACATGCACCTAATTTCAAGAAGATACATCATTGTTTGAGATAAGTGAATAGAAACTTCGAGACCTCAGCAGCTGCAGTAATCCCTGCGACCGCATTCACTTGAGTCCGCCGTTACGTGCAATTGGGGACGATTTGCGCCTTCCCGATGAAGGTAGGCCTGATAGTCGTGGTATTTGTTATGTTCAGCCTGAATTTAGGTGAGTCGCTCCCTTCCATTAAAAGCATTTTCCTATTTTTAAACAAAACTCGTACTTTTCCAAGGCCTCTCTATTTGAGCGTTTAAGGCAGTTCTGTAACAGTTTTCTCATACGACCGTCTCGACTCCAATGACGTGTTCTGAGGACACAGTACTGTCTCAAAACTGCATTATTTCATTCGAATCCGTCTTAACACTTCTATCGGGAAGTTTTGTTGCAAGTAGTGCTGAAGTGTTTCATTATCTCTTCCTGTCAGCCAGCATAAATAAATAAGTATATAAATTCCCTTCAGCATCAGTGGTGTTAAGACTGCATTTATATTGATTGTCTCAACTTCTTTTCCGTTCTAAATTATTGGAGACGTAAGGCGGCAGTAAGAGTCGACTCCTTCCTCAGGTGTTTGATCCGCAACGTTTAACGTCTGGTATGTTGTCAAAAGCCCCAGGCCAAGTAGGGTTGCTATCGAGCTATAATGTCGCACAAATCAGGTTTCTCTCAGGTCGTTGTAACAAGCACTTCCGTCCGCATTGTCCTATTTGCGGGATTTCCGCCGTTGGTATGGTGAGTATTTGAAGACTCCGAGATTTTGCGCGGATTGTGTGGATTTTCTAATAGTTTTTTTTCTTATTTCGACCGTTCCAGGTCTCGGTGACTGTTTATCTTGTTTCGTATGCAACTCCTCCGACAATAGTGGCTGCTTGGACAAGAATTTCAAGGAATACAGCCAGTCGACTCTGACACCACAACTATGCATGGTTGAGAATGCTCGATTTTGCATTAAGACCACCGCACTTTATGGAGGTATGTCGCTGGTCACATCCTGCAGCTTACTGTTTGCTTTCTATTAAGCAATTATGGGCACCACTCGGTTCTGTAGTGCGATGGATATGGGCAGCCAATGCCAGTACACTTCCTTTCCCGACCATGATCGCATTTACCGGGCTTGCATCTTCACCTGTGGTACTGACGCCTGCAACTCGGCGTATGCCTTCCTCAGCAAGTCTTCCGGTCCCTTCGCAAATACTGTTCTCCTCAACGCTTTTTTAATTTACTGTGTATACGAACTCTTTTCTTTTTAACAAGAAAACTGACAGAATTAAAACACGAAGGGTCGAATTTTATTCTTCAGAAAATATGAAAGAATCATGGCAACAGCGTCATCTCCGGATTGCCCTAAATGGGCGAACTGTCGTAGCATTCACTGAAAAATTTAAAAGAATTGTGATGAGGTTTTATCGAAATCGACAGTGGAAACATCAACGCGTCTGTCAGTTTTATTAAAATGTCAATATTTATAGCTTTTTACTTTCTCTCAGCCACCTTTTTTACGCTTGTACACATTATGAGAGAAGATACTTTTTTTACTCAGTTCATGATTTTATGAATAAACGGTGGCTGTGTCTTGCTTCAACCTGCGTCCTCCAAACTCCCTGCTTTCTTCCTCGTTTGGGTAGGCTTACGACTCACTTGATTGCATTTCGCAAATACTACTGTTATAAAAGACGCAGTTTTGCCTTTGCTGCAAAGGCGATACCGTTTCCTTTTGGCCTTAAGTGACGGGAATCAGAAGCATTCATATCATCCTTAGATGAAATTCGCGTTTGGGCGGCTAATAATGCAATCTATGCCAATGCAAGTTATGTATTGGAAATAAAAGTGCTAAGTATGTTTACCTTCTGCACTTTTGTTCCGTTTTCTCCACCTCTTGGTTCTCGTCAAATTTGTGTTCGACAACTTGATGTTTCAGAACCGTCATTTCATCTGGGAACTCCTGAAAGTTGATAATTCATCTCTTTTATAGTGTCACGTATTCTAAATAAGACGTGTTTTATTTTTATGTCAGATTAACATTTCAACCACTAATTTGGTACTGACAAACTTATGTAGCCTGGAACTGCTGTCAGGTGTGCATTTCGCTTAATGTAAGATCCCACGCCTTCTCTGAGTTTCTGTTAGTTATGCAACACGATCGGCTACGGTGAGCGAAAAAAAACTAGTTTAACCTTCAGACAGCTCTTCAAAAGACAATTTGGTGAGCATATTACTACTTTCTATACATGCTCTTCAGACCTGTACACTTATATGGCTATTGAAATAACGATTCACCGGATGCGGACAAGTAGACAATTATGCTGCACTTTGGGTTTAGGGGAGGGGAGAGCGAACACCAACATCCCAGCCAGCGCCAGGGGATGGTGGGCACTGGAAAAGGTAATTGTATGCAGATGGTTGGCTTGGTGGCTTTGACCCATGGCAACTGTGCGACTTCTATGAAGTTCTTCCGTGCGCATAGGACCGGTCCGTGTAGCCTTATTGGAGCCGCCTCTGCCGTCGCCAACAGCCGCCGCCCAAGTAGCTTTATATAGCTTGACGGAATCTTGTAAATCACTCGAAAAACCTCTCTGGCATCTACACGGTGACCTTTGTCTGCCATGTGTGTGAGGATGGACTTGTTTATGTTCTTTATTCGACTCTTTCCTAACCATACTGGAAAATGTCCTTTTATTCTTTTGGACAAATGCTGACTCGTGCGATCAACATATTATGCTCCACAGGAGTAGGTGAAGGAGTAAATACACATAGAGGCGGTCTGGGCTGGTGATTTGGCCTTACCCTCTCCGTATAGGGTGAGAAAAGTGGAGAAGGTGGGTTATACAGCTTGATTTGGGCGTCTTCTTAAAAGCTCACTTGGCGCATCCCCTTGAAATAGGACCCTTATGGAAAATCTTTTCTTTTCTACCGTCAACGTCGGGGACTTTGGTGGGCTTTCGGCCATGTTCTCGCAATAAATAGATCTGGGTACCCGTTCTGGCGAAAGAGACCTCCTACAACCTTAAACACACTTAATGCTCTTAATCGAGCTGATTTTTCTCATCCTTTCTATCAATCAGTGGACTAAAGTACTCTTCACGTTTAGCGGTACGAAACTTCCAGAGTGCGTGTATTGCCGGATCACGTCTTCTCACGGTAGACGTTACGTCGAATACTACCGTCGGGCCTACTCAGAAGAGCGTTCAGAAAGGGGAGCGAACAGGACTGTTCGTCCAGCGTGAATCTGATTGATGGATGCGTCTGACTTATATCACCCAGTAGAGCTCGGACTTTATTTTGTTCCGGTGCAATCCGAAATATATCATTCATGCAACACCCCTAGTATCTCGGATCGTTGATCTGTTGACGTATCTGGAAAGCTGGCTTGCCCTGGAATATATTCACTGAAATTGGTCCAGTGGGCTGCTCCGTCCATCTGCCTATACAGATTGTTATCAAATAGGGATTGCAAGTTTAGGATACACCTCAATAACAATTCTCTGAAGACATTCACCGGCATTCCTACATCCTGCTGATTAGAGGCAGTGATACCGCAAAAACATAACCATTCCGTGTAGGTCGTGGTCCTCCACGCTGTTAATGAATTCAAAGGCATCCCAATAGCCCTGTGGCGCTAGGTGATACTTCAGGAGTTTTAGTTCCCTCTCTAGCCATTTTGATATCTCATGTTAGAGCCAGTTCCTTATATCGGGGATTGGGCGAACTGGTTTGCCATCACTGTGGATCTTCTACAAGCCGTATGACCAATGTATGTGTGCCGATGGGTCGGAGGCGCTCTTCATCTTGTTCTCTCATGAAACCATCTCATTGAAGTCCTTTCAAGCAGTCAGTCAGTTGTGCTTCAATCTCATCTGTACGGTCCTTCTTCTTTGTCTTTCTGAACTTTTCCTGATCCGACATAATGGATCGTATTTTTGTAATATAGTCTACCCTGTCCATCAAAACAACGCTAGTTCCGTTATCTGGCCTAGTTATCAGAAAGTCTTTGTTCTGCCGGAGTTACTTTAACTCCTCAATGTATGACTTCGTCAGCAAGCCCCAATATTTCTGACGACTGTTCAGGTATTGATAAGAGCAATTGACTAACGTAGACTTAAGATGTTGTATGCTCTCTGTCAAAAGTGACTGAAGGTTGTATGTCTGATCCAGGAGGTTCTCCAACAGTTTTTCTGGCACTAGCTGGTTGGGTTACTGAGGACGCCAAATCTTAGGACCGAGCGATAAGGCCTTCACTGGGCTTTTATCGAAATATATAGACGAATAACTGTATCGCGCCCATCATCTCCCGAAGATGACGAAAAAGAAGAGAGGGCAAATTCATCGACCAGAATTCCTTTGAAGTGACGTTTCGGAAACGTCCACGTTCCCATCATCACAGTAGTGCGCTTGTGGCTCCTACCGGTCTTCAGTTATTCAGCCTTGCTGCTTGCCAGCCGTGCTCCATGCACGAACCTTGGCCTGCCTGTTTGCCACTGATTGGCTTAGCCCTCCCCGGGACTGACCGTTGATGAACTTGCGTGACCTTTGTTCCCTTTGGGGTCGGCGTAGTTGTAGTCAAGTCGACGTGCCTGTTGGCCTCTCCCAGGTCAGCCGGTGGACTGATCGGTCGTTGCTGTTCATGTGAGTAGCATTCAGCTTCGCGGGCGCATTGATGAGACAATGTTCGACTTTGGTCACACGACCTCTGACCACCAAACTTAACCCTTTCCGTGGCTTTTGATTTCGGTTCTGCCTGCTAACCTGCCGTATTGGTCCTGTCTGGACTGACCCGTGCCTTGTACCCAGCAACCGGTAGACAGGATGTAGATCTATAGTTCGGTTGAGTATGCCAATCGATGACCAATTTTCAAGCACCGGTCTGGCCATCTTCTCATTGGTTCGATTGAATACCCTTGCTTTCTCAAAGGCGAAATTATGGTTCAGCTCTTGTATGTGGCGATAGACCAAAGGACAGCTTGTCCTTGCGGTTGATTGCAAGTCGGTGTTCGTGCAATCTTGTACCGAGGCGTTTACCCGTTTCACCAACATATCTTGCATTGCAATTTAGGCATGGTATGCTGTAGACCACCCTTAATTCTTCTGTTATTGGCAGTGGGCCTTTGGGCTTCATGATTTGCTACTTGATGGTGCATTCTGGTTTATGAGCCACGCCAATCCCAAAAGGGTTCAGGATTCTCGCCGTCGCCGAGGTTCGAGCAGCTGTTCTTCGGCTGGTACCTACCGAGGTTCTGGGCCAGATACGTCGACGACACGTTCGTTGTAATCAAGAGGAGGGAAGTATAGGCTTTCGAGGCATTGTTGAACTTGTAGTGGACAGCCATAATGGCTACGTCGCGCCTCTCGCTAGCGCCTGCACCTACGTCCTAGCGACAGCCTGCTATGGCAGGCACGTCTGCCCGGCTTCGATTTGCTTCGTTGTAATTCACTGTCTGCATCACGCATTCGGTCGATTCTCTGCCTGCACCACGCGAGGCTTGTCACTACCTTCGCGTGGGCTCGGAGCCAATCAACGCAACTCCTATCGCTGATTGGTAAGACTGGCGGGAACAGTCCAGAACAATAAAGTGAACAATCTGCAACGACACTTTTGCAGCGGCGACCTTCGGCGACACAGGGCTCATCGCTCTCGCGGACGCCGCCTCCGCGACGCCGGACGCATCCTCGTCCGGTTGCCAAATTTCCCCTTCACTATTCTGTACAGAATAAAGTGTCCTAACCAAATGGCGTCCTGCTTCGAACAACTAGAGATATGGCCTGAAGTTGTGGCGTACTGAGCGTACACCATCACCGCTTAGCCGCCACAAACTCAATCTTTCTTCACATCCAGACTACTATGGAAGAAGAAGTCAACAATCGGTCGCCCTTCCATGACGTACTAGTTACGAAATTAACGGACGGGAAGATAAGGACAACGGTTTACCGTAAGACAACCAATACTGGGCGCATCCACTTCCGAGGCAGCCACCCTGTTGGTCATAAACGCAGTTGTGTCAGAACTCTCAAGGTGTTCAAACACACTGCAACGACGACAGTGGGAGGAAAAGATAGATGAAGTAATTACAGGCCCCTTTTGAAGCCAACGGCTATCGGAAGCTCTTCATACGCAAGTGGCCCAAAAAGCCTCATTTTGAACGGTCGAGTGGAGAAAGGGTGATGTTCTGACTCTTAATACCCCACGTGAAGAGCGTATCAGAGACGATGGCGAGAATCCTGAAACCTTTTAGGATTGGCGTGGCACGTAAACCAG